GTGGTAAGCTTGGGATATGTCGTTTCATTGAGGGCAAGGGGAGAGACTGGCATCAAGGAGGTATGTCAGATCTATTCTTCTAAGCTGTGCGATGACGAGTACAATCCTCCGCGAGTCATGGAATGACTGAAGTGCCCCACAGGATGGGAGCCTCACTCGAGACTTTCCGGCCAATCCTTGCTTGCACCAATCAAGACTTAGAATTCAGGATAGTGTACTCACGAGAGTTTTTGTCAAGGTCGAAGAACTCCTTGAGCAGATCCTCGGATGCGAGGCGGAGATCCTTCAGGTTCAGCGTCTTGCCGAGGACTCCTGAGGGCACATCCGTCGTTTCTCGCGCAATCACAAACACCGGGACGGGGGTCGCGGTCTTCGCGGTCTTGGGCTTGTACACGAGCGTTTTGATCAGCTCAAAGGGCTTGGGGGCATCAGAGCTCGCCTCGAGGGCCTCGCGCCAGGACTGGGGAGAGTTTGTCGGGCCGTGCGAGACGGTCGCGGCAGGAGAAATCGAGAGCTTCGAGAGCGACTGGGTGATAGACTCTAGCGAGGCCATCGTGGTAGCCGTTGTGTGGAATGAGCGCGAGGAGGAGAGGAAGGAGGTGGAGAGGTGGCTGAGAGTAGCTCGGGGACAGACTGGAGAGGATTCGGCGCTTTTGCAGATTGACTCGACTGTTTTTGGGCGAGACGATGTTATCAGATGCTGCGATAGAACAGCCCGCGCTGCTCGAGCCCGGGGAACTCGCCAGACAGCGGCCCTCGCAGCGAGCAGGGGCATTCGCACGTCGTCGACACTGCAGGGGGCGTTCGCGCAGGCTTGGAAGATGGTGACGCGACACAGAAACGCGTCCGACTCCGGCCAGCTCGACGCGATCGACTTTGAGGCGCTCGACATCATATCTACCCGAGCGCGTACCCGACCAGACTCGCGCTCGCCTTCGAATTCAACATGTCCAGAGCAAACGAACGCGGACTGCATTGCGGATGTATATAACGTGGTCATGATGCTACCAACGATGCGACTTCAGGACAAATTATCTACTACCCCCTCCGTTCCGGTTCGTACAAAAAGTGTCGACTGGGTGTCCGTGCGAGGAGCGGCGAAAGGAGGCGGTCAGTGGTATATCGTATGGTACAACGCCAAGAAAAGTAACAGATGATTGTGGTGAGTATATTCGTGTGGTGCTGAGGAGATCGTGACGTTCATGCGCCCGAGGCTTCGCCCGGGGTAGACGATTCGGAAGGGCTCTCATCTTCTAACTTTTGGTCAGCCGGTTCTTTGAGTTCTTCCTCGATGGCCTTTCGACCTTCCTCAGTCAGCGTCGGCATGCCCGAGGAAATATCAGGATCGAAGTATCGAGGGACGAACCTAGACCACCGCGTGAGTAATCAGACAAGAATATGAGCAAACGCAAACTTACTTGACTCCCTTGCGCTTGCGCTCAGCAGTATCATCTCTCTGCTTCTGTTCTATGGCCAGCTTGTGCTTCGTTGCCTCGCTGTACTCCTTCTTAAGTAGGCGGCTTGTCACGTTCTCCCACAGTTTCCTGCTCTCGTTCGGGAGCTGCTTCTCCAGCGGGCGGACCACCTTGGGAACAGGATGCAGCGGGGTCAGGTCAATCAGCGTCGCGTACTCGCTATCCGGCGCATCGACGCGCTTCCAGCGGATACGGCCTCGCCAAGAGCCATCAAACACCGCCAGGACGCGCTCGCGAGGGACATGCTTCACTCGGGTCCATTCCTCGTGCACGCTCTCCTTCGGGTCGTACGTGTGGATGATGCCCTCGCACTGGAACTGCGCCCGTCCAAGCCATGACTCCTCCTTGTACTCGATGATGGCCCGAAGCTTCTGCCCGTCCTCACCGCCAGAGCAGGTGATGATCGTCGAGTCCCCGATGGCGACATAGAAGCTGCCGCGCAGAAGGCCGTTCACCGCGGCTACCGGGTGAGTGATGTGGTACGTCTCGCCTGCGCCGGGCTCGCCGGTGATACGCACGAAGATGCCTTTGTTGAACGAGCCCGGCATGACGCGCAGCGTGGTGCCTGATACCTTGGCCGAGATCTGGTCAATGCCGCACAACTCAACGTGACGAGTCGGACAGGAAGCATAGAATGCGGAGACAGGGGGGTGGTGCGAGATTTGCTCTGTGAGGAAGGCAATGCGCACGCGCGGCTTGTCCGCAGCGGTCTCGTCCGTCTCGAGGAGGTCGACTGCGCCAGAGCTTTGATCATTGGCGAGGCTGAGGCTGGACATACCCGCCTCTAGGTTCGTCTCCACAAGTTCTGGGGAGGTCGCGGGAGTCGACTTGGCAGTCGCGGATGGACCACGAGACATGAAACTAAACCCACTGAACGCGCTCTTGTTACTCCGGCCGCTCTTGATACTCGCGCTCTCGGAGAGGTGCGGGTGCGCGACATCGGGCATCGAGTGGGTCGCGGGACCGGAGAACCAAGATGTGCTGGGAGGCTCGGCGCCAGGCGGGGAGACATACAGGTGGTGAATGGGAGGCTCGTTGGGATCTGAAGGGTAGGAGACGGGGATCACGTCCCAGTGTGATCGAAAGTGCTCGCCCAGCACGGAGTTGTAAGGCTTGCAAACCTTGCCCTTCTGCAGATGTACTCAACACACAGCCTCGTAGAAATGTGGATGGCTACGCACGATGAACTTGAGGTCCTTCGAGAATGTGAATCTGAGTACGGCCAGCATACGCTCGAACGGGTCGTCAGAGTCATTGATGCTGGTAACGCTTCATTGAGCCTCTAGCGCACATATTCCTCATTGATAGCACTTACGCAGCAAAGAGATCTGGTCTATCCAAGTAATGCCAGTACTCGAGATTAGGGATGGGCTCTAGCAACGATGCCGGCAATGAAAGACGCCTAGCACGCACAGCGTTAAGCAGGGTCGTGCAGACGACGAGGCAGAGAGACGTACATAGCAGCAATATCCTTGACACCTAGGCACTTCTTGACGAGCTGGACGATCATCTTGAGCTTGCCGCTTTCGCCAGCGTCGGTGGCATCGGGCACTGATATGGCTTGACCGGGAGCATCCTCATCCATGGGGGTAGCGGTGTCGGCCCTATCCAACGTTGCCATCGTGTCGAGGGAGAAAGAAAGAAAGACGAGGCGGATGAAGTGAGACCTGTATGGTAGGGAGAAGGGGGAAGCAAGACCGGAAAGAAAGAACGTGCGCGTGTGCCAGGACCACCAGGACCGCTTAATGGGAGTAGGGCGAGCGTCTGTTGCTGCCATCCATTACGCTGCCGCCGCTGCGCCTCCGTCCCCACACCGACGATACTGAATTTTGCCCACCAAAAAGTGGTTCGACCCGGGCTCGAACCGGAGACCTCCTGTGAGCACCGCCCAACCTGGACATGTGAGACAGACGTGATAACCAACTACACCATCGAACCGTACTTTTGCTGTAGTCAGACTATATAGAGCCACGCGTAGCATTCAGCGTTGTCTTGCCATCTCCCGCCAGCAACACCGCCAAGTTCAGCACGACTGTCGACACGACCATGTTATCTACAGTATAGCTGGTATCCTACCATTCCAGTTACTGGGCAGCGTATATCTACGCCGGGGTATGCCTCCAGACCATGGGGATCAATATTGCGTGAGAAACAATCCTTCCTGCTTCGTGCGACTACAGCTGGCTGAGATTGAGCATAACAGTATGGTATGCGACTTCTTCCACCCAGGCGTAGGTGGAGTGGAAAATCACATCTACATGCTGAGCGCGAATCTCATTCGTCGCGGTCATAAGGCAAATTCCGCTACGCTTGTGCCAGGCGGACTGCTAATGTAGCTGTAGGTCATCGTCATAACCCACAGCCACCCGCAGGACCGAGTCGGTGTACGATGGCTCATTCCGGGATTGAAGGTCTACTACATCCCGTTCCCGACTATCGCCTCCTCAGCGACACTTCCAAACTACTTCACGTTCTTGCCATACTTCCGCACTATCGTGCTACGAGAGGACATACAGCTGGTGCATGGCCACGCTAGTCTCTCGTCTCTGGCCCAGGAAGCAATCCTTCATGCTCATCATATGGGTGTGCGGACAGTATTCACAGACCACAGTCTCTTTGGGTTTGACGATGCGGCTAGCATCTTAACGAACAAGCTCTTGGAGGCTGCTCTACGCAACGTAGACAGAGCTATATGCGTCTCGCATACTGGGTAACGCATAACTTATTCTATGGACTTGCAGCGATTAATAGACATTGAACAGTCGCGAAAACACAGTTCTCCGGGCCAGAATGATGCCGAACAAGATCCATGTAATCCCAAATGCACTCGTTGCGGAGCAATTCAAACCATCACCCAAGCCTCCTACTGGAGATACCAGTAAGTGGTTTCGGAGAGTTCTGCAGTTGACATTCGCTGAATGTACTATAGTTACGATAGTGGTCTTGTCACGTTTGGCGTACAGAAAGGGTATTGACCTTTTAGTTGCAACTGCACCAAGGATTTGCGCATTGTTTCCAAATGTCCGCTTTCTCATCGGTGTGTCTACCTTTGAAAGTGCTTCCTGCTTCCTGCCAGTTCTCAGTGCGTAACGCCAGGTGGGGATGGCCCTAAACTGATCGATATACTGCAAATGAGGGAGAAACATCTGCTTCAGGATCGTATAGAAATGCTCGGCCCTATTCGGCACAGCGATGTGCGCAACGTGAGTGCACCCACCAGGAATTCAAAAACGTATTTAAAAGTCGTCCCAGGTCCTCGTGCAAGGATCCATCTATATGAATACGTCTCTCACAGAGTCCTTTGGGATTGCCATCCTAGAGGCTGCTTGTACGGGGCTCTACGTCGTGTCCACACGTGTAGGCGGAGTGCCCGAGATATTGCCAGAAGATACAATCTCATTTGCCAATCCAGACGAAGATGGTATAGCGTGTTCGCTCCCACGATACATACTCAAACATCCTCACCGTGTCTCCAGATGTAGTTCGCGCTGTATCGGAAGCGATCGAGCGAGTTTCTGCAGGCAAGCACGATCCGCTCCGTGCGCATGAACGTATCAAGGATTTCTATGACTGGACGGAGATAACAAGGAGAACCGAGTTGGTGTACGAATCGGTGCTGGCTACTCCTCCCTATGACTTCTGGACCCGACTACAGCGGTACGCACTTTTTCTGTTATCGAAGCCCAAGTATGTTGACAAGTACTACAGAACACTCGACTTGGGTCGCTTTGCAGGATTAATTTATTCCGTCATCCTCTTGGTTGACTGTCTCTTTTTCATGTTCCTGGAATGGTACCTCCCGGAGGAGGAGCTGGACAAAGTTGAGATGCACTGGGAACATGAGCATTTCGAAGAGGTGAGAGCGCATTCATCTCGTTCCTTTCATGCGCAATAATGAGCCTTCCCCAGCTGGTGAACGAGTACGAGACAAGGCAAGTGCAGGCATCCACTGTCAGGCCAACACTAGGTGAGTTTTCTGGAGCATTACCTTCAGCGATCGTGTCGGAACTAATTATCGGCGCTTCCCGTTTCCCGATTAGAACCGTAGTGCATCCACATAGGGGGCGAATACGGACAACCAACACACATTTTTGGAAGTCAAGTACCTCAATCTGCTGAACTGTCCTCCATCCAAATCGTTCGCGCAACCCGCAGCGCTATAATTCGTTCTCTCCATGCCTATGCTCTGTCTTCTGGCCGGCGCCTCCTACGCCTCACGTGCGGTGACTCAATGCTGATAAGTGAACCGCTGCCATCAGCTTTTTCTTCGAGTCTTCTCTTCCTTCCCTCCACCCACCGGACGATGAGCTCCTGCGAAGATGAGAAAGCAAATAGTGTCCTCGATGACACAAGTCCAAGCGCTCGCCCTCAAGGATGGTTCGCGTCCACGACTGACTTCCTCACTCGCTGGGGAGTCGAGACTAACGGGTTTGTTGCTATGTTCTGTTTAACGCCCGCGCCTGATCTAACCTATCTTCTACTTAGAATTGATCCAATATTACCAGATGATAGAACAGATACCAAGCTATATCAGATGTTCTTCGTATGGTTCTCTGCCAATCTAAATATCCTGGCGTGCGTGATACCTCATCAAAGTATGAGGACCCTCGTCCGACATGTGTGACCTTGATAGATTCGGGACGGGCTCAGCCGGGCCTGCGTTCTTCGGGCTTGGACTACGAGACTCGTTCATCATCCTCTTAATTGTGGATTTGATGTTTGTCGCCCCACACTAGCCTGCAAGAACGGTACTAACCTGCATCCTAGCTCATGTGTTATCCCAGCGTACTTGTAAGTGCCCGCCAATCATGTGATGCTGAGCCATTCTATGAGCAGCCTCATAGAAGTCTCCCCTTTTCAGCGCCGTCTTCGGGCCCAAGCTCGGGATGCGATCTATGGTACTCGCGCGCTACTCCTGGGGGTACGTACGTTCGCGTTGCATCAAACCCTATGAAGCGAACAATTCCACAGGTATTTCGGGTCAATACTCCCGAGTGCCTTCACAGTGTTCTCTATGCAGGGTTTCCTGATCCTAAATTGCATCATCGGAGGGCAGACGCTCGCGAGTGTGTCATCTCACCTAGACGATACACTAGGTATCGTTATCATAGGCGTGATATCCCTATTGGTATGCCCTGTTTCTCTCATATCTCTTGGGCGCATAGCTCACACCCCAATGTAGGTCACCTTCTGCGGTTACCGAATTATCCACTGGTATGCCCCTAGTCTCCGCTCAACGGGAATTTCTTACTGAGGTTGGTCACACGAGGTATGAAACGATCGCTTGGATTCCAAGCGTGATCACATTCATCGTGATGCTTGGCCTCGGTGGAAAACATTTGACTCAGGCTCCGACACCTCCCCCGCCCTCCGCCTCAGCGGTCTTATCGTTTGCTACTACGACAGCCTCGAGCGTGATCAGTTGGTGTATGATGACTCCAGACTATGGCGTCTACCATACCCACAAAGCTTCAAGGTCAGGGGCGCATCAACGTTCCTCCCGTATTCGATTGCTCATGCGCGCGTGTATTGACAGCACAAGAGTTTTCCTGTACAGTTACGCTGGCTTTTTCATCGCGAGTGTACGTGTCTCATGACGTCTTCGTTGAACCAAGCTTACGCTTTCGACACAGCTCGCTGCCCATCTCCTCGGCGCTGCCTTCGCGGCTGCAGCTCCTGGCGTGGCCTCTTGGGAGGCTGGCTTCGATGGGGGCAACAACGTCGGCGGGCTGATCGAGGCCGTCCTGTCGCCCTCCGGGGGCTTCGGCAAGTTCCTCACAGTGCTGGTCGCGCTCTCCATCCCGAGTGCATGTGCGCCGACCATGTACACATTCGCGTCCAGTCTGATGACAATTCATGTCTGGTTCGCGCGCGTACCCCGATACGTGTACACTATCATCTCTGAAGCGATGTATGTCTACATCACAGCTTCTCTGGGGGTGTTCCACTGATTACTCTGGTATATGCAGCCTGATACCCGTAGCAATCGTCGGTGCGACGCACTTCTACACTACTTTCGTCGATGTGCTCAGTAAGTGTCTCGCCACCAATGTAATTGTCGCTGTAGACTGAACGAGAGCCCGACAGGCGTCATCGGATATTGGAGCACCGTCTTCGCAGCTATCGTGATCATCGAGCACTTCGTCTTCCGCAAGAACGACTGGGCGCGCTACGACCTCTCAAAATGGTGCAAACCGCGCGAACTTCCCCTCGGAATCGCCGCTGTCTTCTCATTCCTGTGTGCATGCGGGCTCATCATTCCGTGCATGTCCCAAGCCTGGTACATCGGACCCATCGCGAACGCAGGCACGGGGGATATCGGTATCCTAGTGGGATTCGCTCTGGGTGCTCTACTGTATCCCGCCTTCCGGGCCGTGGAGATAGCATATTCTGGGAGGTAGATGTACTGTTTGATAGGGTCATAGTTTGTACTTTCCGGGTACCGCGGGTGCGGATGCTTGCTTTGCTAGCAACCGCGATGGTAATAGTTGGCTATATGCGTGAGTAATCCACTGTTAGGCAAGTAACATGATCGGTAAACGCTCGATTCTGCAGAGAACACGAGACGGTTCGTACTTCGCAGGCCATTGGCCGAGTATCCCGTGGGTCGATTATTTCCTCGATGCCAAAAACATTGGCCGTCCGTGTGGGGTCCCGCACATTCTCGAATTTCGAGAGGAGTTCCTTCATCATCTTCTCCCTGGCAGCCGCAGTGGGTGCACTGTCAAGCTGGCGCTTGTATGCGGCTTCAATGCCACCCTCCAATGGCAGGCTTCCCCAATCGGCAGAGGGCCTATGCACACACAAGAAGTTAGGCCGAATTGCGTCTGTGCAATATACGAAGACGGACCATGCGACACGGTTGTTCAACCCGTCCCCAGGATCAGACAGTGCGCCTCCAGCAACACCAAACGACCTTCGGACGATGACAGTGAAGA